ACGCTCCGTGGCTCGGTTAAGGCCACTTACTGCTGTTCCACGCACTCGTTCACCGTTAATTGGATTTAAATCAATGCATAGCGTGAACAGCATTTTGATCTGTACCCGACACAACAACAGTACCCATTGAATATTTGGTTGAACTATATATTGATTAATACTTATGATCGGTCGTGTTCGGGAATTTTCGCCATACGGTAACCCATTCGCGCTTATTCCCTTTGCCGGATCCTTTCCTATATTTTCCGTGGGATTTATACGTGCCCTTTTACCGGCGAATAAATTATGTAGAAGCCGAATGTACGTGCCTAGATTCTGGAATCAAATATCAGGAAATAATCAAGAATGAATTATTTATTGGATCGTGCGCGCTCATCTTCGACCAGGATAGTAAGAAAGGGAGCGACGGTTAAGTATAGTGAAAACGAAGATGGCGTAAGTGTATGCACGGTGGTGGGGGTAACGGCAAGATGAGAAAGAGGTTGAACGAAGATAGTGAAGACGAAAAATGAGATGGAAGGAAAGCACGAGTGGAGGGGATGACAAAGACAATAAGACTCGGGCGAAGAAAATGACGAAGGGGGCTAATAAAGAAGATGAAACGAGAAGAAAGATACGGGAGGGAAGCAAGGGAGGAAGAAGTCGACAGTCTCTGCTTATTATTACGCGCAATCTCGTTCTTTAAATCGTAACATTTTCGCCGCTACCACAGCGATATATTCATTCCCGGTCTCATTATTTTCAATTGGTCTTCACATTCAGCTGAACATTGTCCCGTCGAACCTTTCTTGAGTCAAAGCGTGATTTTTATTCTCCGTAACCTTTCAACCAACCTACACTACTGCGTCACCAGGAATCCATCTCATCGTTTCCGTTCTAATTGTCGAAGTGCCTCCAGACCCGAAAGTAATATCTTCACCATCGATATCGAATTGCATAACTCTCGTTCTGGGAGGGGAGTTGAATGTAAACGCTAGGTCGAGAGGAAATCGCACGCCGTTTTTGCCCGCTAGCTTTGACAAACGACAGCGGTAGGGAAGTAGCATCGCTCTAGAAGTCAGTTTAAACGGTTCGCAGAAGGTTCGTTAACTTCCACTCTAATTCTGAATAAAATATAACGAGCTAGCGGCAACTCGAGTGTCAGCCGGCGAACTTATCGATTGCGGAGCCTGAAGAAAATTCGAGGATACCTTGAGAATATCGTAGATTACTTTATCCTTTTGTTCACTCGGTAGATAGAACTGATCATCGGTCTCGGTTTAAAGTGCACTTTGTTTTCCCTTTGTTCCTCGATGATGAAGCAGAGGGACGGTTCCTTTTTTTCCTGATCTACTTGCGTTTCGAAAGATTCTCTCGCGAAGTTTGGCCTGCGTGTTTTTGCAAGATAGATAAACCTCCAGTCGGCAAACATTCGTTCTCTAGTTTCATTTTGTCTCTCAGCTATTTTCCAAACATTTCTCTCGTATATACCGATTTGCGATCGTTTTCCTTTCGAGTTGCATATTTATGCACGTCATGGCATATAATCAATTTACGCGATGCAGTTAGTCAAATATAAAGCAGTTTCGTTTTCTTCCTATCGCGTTACATTAGACTGGTTACTAATTCAGAAACGCGGTGGAAAAAACGGAGGAATACGTGGAATTGTAATTTTCCGTTAAATTATCGTCTGCGATGGTAAACGATATTGTCGCGGTAGGTAATCGAATCAGAGTGAGGTTCTTCAGGAATCATTAAGTGGCGCAATCTGTTGACGTATTGCCGACGCATTATGGAGATCGGAACAGGACCTTGTTACAGTTTTACAACACTCCTTTCGCAAATTCCTAACCTCTTACGTTTTCTGTCCTGATTGCGATAAAAGAAGAATTTTAATTGTACCCACAAATTCAGACAAAGAATAAAATAACTTGTCACAATTTTTGTATCAGTTGTAACATTTGAAATTCAATATTACGCGAAACACTGGAAGAATTCAGTCTCATAGGAAATTTGAACGCGACATCTGTGCATACGTTCCTTAATTACAAGTAACTTTGACTGTTCCCACCTCCATCTTTCTCCAACTCGCTCAAGTACAAAGTCGCAAGCGATCGATAATTGCAGTCCGTCCTCTTAACATGAAAAAAAAAAAAAAAAAAAAAAAAAAAAA